GAGATATGTGTTTCCTTCTCCTAAAGCTATTACTGAATACTTTTCTTTGGGAGAAACTACTTGGAGATACTAAGAAAGAAAAAGGAAAAAAGTACACCTGCTACACATCAGTGTGGCAAAAAGAGGCATCATAAAATGCAATTTAAATGCTAATAAGAGTCATGAAGTTTGTGTATAAGCTTTAATTCTGCCTCTAGAGTACAGCATGGTGCAAACTTCCAGTGGCCCCAGAAGAGATCAGAAAGGCCAGACGGGGGTCTGTTCTCTAGAAGGAGAATAATTTGCTTCTTTGTAAGTTTCTGATGCACTGGATGGATGGGAAAGTAAGGAGAAGACAGACAAAAAACAGGGAGACCTGCGTCTTCCCTTAAACTTACAGCAGTCATTTACTTACAGATAACTGGAGTATCATCAATGACACAGATTTCTGATTGTGACCTGGATAATCATGAAGACAGCTGTGTGTCAGTCCTCCTTACCCACTAACTCCTCTTCACAGCTGGGCTAAGACTTCTCAGGATCGTCATGCTATATAGCATGAGGCATCTGTGGAAACAGGGACAGGACATAGGCTAGGGACAAGGAGCACGGTACTTTTCGGAGGAAGACTAGACATTAACACTCACAGTAAGAACACCATCCGCAGTTTGGCAAAAGAAGATACGCATATTTAAGGGATTTGGCATAGAACGGGTTGTGCTGTTGGTTATTTCCATTTCGCAGTAGCCATTGAGTACATGGAGGCAGTTGCAGGGCTCTTCTTTTTGCTTCAGACCCAGGATATGGTGCCCCAAGCGAGCTTCAAAACTGCTGCCTGGGTTTGCTGATGTATGCCACGCTCCAGTCATTCTCTAATCCCTGTGCTGAAGACTGGAAAAGTCAGTGCCAAACACAGCTTTGACAACTTTTAACCCAATCTGGAGGTTTCCTCAGATCAGGGAGACCACAAGTGTTTATTTTCTTGCTATCCAAGTATTGTGAAACCAATCAAGAAGGACAAGAAGGCCACAGAGGGATTTCAAACTTTTCTCATCAATACGTTCTCTTTCAAAACCAGAATATTTCCCTTATAATAATAGAATTTTGAAGAAAGCATCACCCTGTACCCAATGACATTATCAAATCAGCTAGGCTTTTTTTTTTGGGTGTGTGTGTGTGTGTCAAATCAGCTTGGCTTTTTTTTGGGGGGGGGGGTGTGTGTGTGGGTGCGTGGAATCAATTAGCATCTAGGAGTATCTCACCTATACATAAAAATATACATAGTTATTTGATTCCAGTGAAAAAAAAAATGAGACTTTCTGAAAGTCTGTCCTCTCCACTTATTTTTCTCTCTTTCCTATCCTACTTACTATTAATGTCATTTCAGGCCTAGCTTATTATTTGTAGCAGGGTACCAGTCAGACACTACAGTCAAAAAACAAGGTCCCTTTGTGATAGGCACTGTCACAAATTTAAACAGCTGATTTCTCTTCCAACTAACTTACAAACTTTAAGTATAAAACATTCTAGATAAGATGGACAGAGTGTGCGAGGGTGATAATATGGTTAATGTAACAAGCAATGGTCACAACTGAATTTTGTTCTGCATGGAAAGAACATATTCAAGGATGTTAATTAATGCCTTATGGTCTTTGCCAGTCCTATCTTTCTAATTAATAATCAAAGTTAAATTTCCAAAGGACACCATACTCTAAACATGCACTTTCTAAACTCTATGCCTCTGTATTAGGTCATCCCGCAGCAAGTAATTCTCAAAATAAAAGCACTTTGGAAATGTGTTCTTTAACAGCTGCTTGCTAGTAGTCACCATAAAGAAACTAAAAATGATTTGATTTGGAGAAGGAAATGTCTGCCTCCTTTTCCAAAGGAGACCTTTTCCTCTAGTTTGTGTTGGTACCTGTTAATTAGAAGAATCAAAAAGACTAGTTGAAATGCCATAATCACTTAAAAATTACTTTGACAATAGTTACTTTGTAGTAACTTTGTATAACAGGGATCAATCCTGCTTTTCAATATTAAAAAACCAAATACCTTCCATGACAAGTTACTACACGCACTCAAATGTTAAGACTGACCAAGTATCACACAAAGTTAAATACCACTGAGTTAAAGCCTTTTCATTTCCCTTGTGGCCTATTTTCTTCTCATATTTCTTCCCAACTACTAGTTTCGAAACACTTGTACCTTCTTTGCTTGTCAACTTGAACCTCATATTCCTGCTTTTCCCACTCTGAAGAGCAAGTCTCAGACAAACTCAGTGCTAAACTCAACCATCAGTTGAAATGCCAAAGAATAAATTGTTTTGCTGCTTGTTGTGGCCTTTTATTTCCTCCCATTTGATTAGAAATACTTAATTAGTGCTAATTAAGTACTTTGAAACTTGGGTGAAAGTTTTTATAGAAATGCACATTTCTGCTAATACTTCAATGGGAGAAAAATACGATGACAAAAACACCAGACAGCACACTGACAAGTAAACAGAAAAAGAAAAAAAAAAAAAAGTATTTTTTACCCTAATTGAGAACATGGGTACAGCTGAAGACAGAAGCAGTTTATGCTTTGCAGCAGACATATCCTTAAGCAGCTCTGCCTCTGCTCTGAATTCGCTGTTGGTTTAGAGCCTGAACTTTACACCTTTAAACGACGTCTGACTCCACATAAGTGGAAAGCAGCTCTACGGGTGTTGCACGTTTACCCTGGTATTATTATTGTCATCTTTATCATACCTCTGTACCTAGGTCCAGCCAGACTGTCCTAAATCCAGCAGTGTATTAAAAAAGAAATGAGGAGCCAAAATGGGTTCCTATCCTACTTCAGTACCTTTCAATTATTAGATTAGCCCTTTAGTGGGTAATCAGGTAAATACCTGAAACTAAAACAGTAAATAGGAGGCCATAAACTAAAGCAACCCTGAGGCTACTTTAAATAGCTGTGATCTCTGAGAAGGAACTGCACTACCTCAGCTGCCTACAAATTAGCACAAATGAGAAAGAATTTCCCCTAACGATTTCTTCACTTCACCTGGTTGCTGAATATAAAACTCATTATCCAAGGCTTCAGCTCTCGGTTTCAGCCAATCTTAAGGCTAAATTTTACAGCTATCATGGACCAAAGCAGACCTTCCTTATGAGGTGGTCTCCGCTATGTATTTCATCAGATGATGAGTAGGTTATCCAACTTGAGAGAAGTAATTTATACTAAATAAAGCTACTATGTGCACTTTTAAAGTTCACTTCATTCCGAATTTCTCTTCCCCCTCCTGAACTCTAGTCCAGCAATTTTAAGCGAACAAATTCTTAAAGATATCAATGAAAATGTATATTACGAGGCAATCTTTCTTTTGAAATAGGGATAAAGTGTTTGTGATGGAGATAAATTCCTCTTCAAACTTAATTCATATACTTTAAGCACAGATTGGAAGAGTGCTGAGCCTAAAAAAAATTAGTCTACAAACTTCAGTCTGTGAATAACGATGCAAACCCAGCAAAGCTAGTTAATCTTTTTACTCTGTGCAGCAATGAAAATAGAAATGAGGTCCATCACATAATTTACCAGATCCTATGTTACAGAGTCCTCAAGCGTACCACATCAAATAGAACTTTGGCACAATTCAAATTTTAATTCTATTTAAATGGAATTTCAATGCAAGTTAGGAAGTGAATGAGTAACCTTATCTAAGCACATTTGAGCACTACATGTATACGCGCCATACACTTCCTATTACGTGAAGAACAGAAATTCTCCACAAGAAATCAAAGTTTTTCATAATATTGTGTGGCTCATAAATATCTTTTGACACTTTCCTTTTTGGTAATATTTAGCACACTTGCAATATTTATTGGTGATAAAAAAAGTCTAATGTATTTCCTCTTTAGCTCATCTTTTTCCACAGTAACTACATTTTAGCAATGGTTTGATGAAACTAAAGATACCGCTCTTCTTATTAATCCCTATCTTTCCTCACAAATAATCTCAATTATATTTCCATTTCTTTGTAAGTTAACACCAGCTGCCCGTATTCATCTTTAACATGAACGGGATATACAGGCATACAACACAGAGAAACAGATGACTTCGTACTACTACACAACTGCTTAAAAACATATTTACATGTCAGCAATATTACTGTCTTTTCACAAAAAGAGAAAATTTGATTTAATCTGTTGGGAGGACGTCCTATGGCTTGTTGGGAACTTCTATATTCTCTATGTTTTACATCTTTCTCCCATGTATGGAGAATTTACATTACTGTATTCTCCCTTCCCCTTGTTTAAATAACTTTGTATCTCACTCATAGAAGTAGCAGCCATTTCTTTCAAGAAGGCTGTTGAAACACTATTGTTATAAAGATATTCATCACCTCTTTTCCATTGAAAAAAATCATGTTAATGCTTGATTATGCAAGTTTAGTTTTGGAAAGGACCAGAGCAAGTAAACCTTGATAAATAAAAAAAAAAATCTGGGAGAACTGTCCGTTGCTGAAGGGCAGGTTTTACACTGCTGTGTCGGTATCCTGATCTTAAGTTCAGAAACTGCACTTGGAGTTGTGCTGTCTGCACCAGAACTACCAAATGGCATTATAATGTTTTCCCAAATTTGCTTTTTGGGAGCAATTTGGAAGGCAATTTTGTTATTTGACAAGATGTCCATCACTAAATTCGCCTAAACACACATACAGACACCCCTCCCAAACACACATACACACACACACATGCACGCACATTGATTTTACAAAAGTCTCCTTTTCTTTAAGCAAGTAGTCACAACACTGAAAATATTCTCCTATGTGTTCACTGATTATTCTTAAATGATTTGTCACCACTCTGCCACTCAAAGGAGGTGGTTATTTCGTTCTTCTGAGCAGCTAACTATGTTCAAAAGCAGCTAGATGATGATGATGATGGTGTGATATAAATTCCAATAGAAAAATGCATCGTCCATCCTTATAGCAGTCCATCCTGAGAAACTTCCGCTGACAAATCCTTGCTATTTTCCATCGGTCATGGGGTTCCCATCAATAAATAGAAGGTCAGTGCAACAATGAGGAGCAGGCAGAACGGAGAAGAGAAGGTCTGGTAGGCAGCTGATGGCATAAAAATATCTTCATACTTGTAAATACTGACAACACGCTCTGATACGGGTGGTGAGTCTATATCATGACGAGTTATAGAACCTTTAATAGGTAAGGACAGAAAGAAATAACATCAGATGCATTTTTTCTATAACTCTACCAAAGAAACAGGTAGAAAGGCAAGTAATTTTCAAATCTACAGGAGCATGCAATGTTACACTGTCAGTGAGCAGGGTCATTTCTCCGCTTTCTGAAATTAAACTTCTGAATAAAACAAATGAAATTCAAGTAAACAATAAACATCCTTCAAAGGAATTCAGAACTTCTAGTTATGAATTATCCTTACTTAAATTTATCTTTGGGGAATGGGGATAAGAACTACATAGTGAAAAAAACACGACAGGTAGGACTATTATTTATTTTGTCTTCCTTTTTATCTGTTTTAAGCCTCATGCTGCCAGAATTTTAGTCCATTTAAAAAAAAGGGGGTCTAGTAAGAATATTGTAATTGAAAGACATTTATCAATTTTGGCAGCCCAGTTCTGTCAGAAGCATGGAAATCAACTTACCCTGAATTGCTGGACCCCAAGCAAACAGATAGTACCAACTTAAGTGCAGATCTACGATGGTTTCTTCTCGGGGAACATATACAGGACGCTTGAATCGACATGTTACACGATTGTTTTCAAAAACCCCTTCTTCATCTCTGGCAGGATTTCTCTGGATTTCTTTAGCCCACTGACCGACATTATAGAAGTGCTGTATTCGGACTCTTCCATTGTCATCATGAACACAAGCCATGACATCATCTCCTCCCTGCACGGTAAAAACATATTGGTAGAAGGAAAACAAAAGTGTCACAAAGTATTTCCTCATTTATGTATATAATTTTAATTATTAAAAACCTGATGATTATTTGATTATTATTATTATTTTATTATTATTATTTATCTTGATTATTATTATCAAGACCTGGGGCTCTCATTCCTTCTTTCTGTGTTACATATACACAAATATTCGTTTCCCTAACCATATGTTTTCAATCAGATTGAACAACACAAAGTGGATAGTATTATTTACTTACCTTTACTATCTCCGAATTCTCTTTTGGATCTTTCTAAGAGTTATTTTACCGAACATACATAACATATTTGTAAGACATGATATCACCCTGACATCACACAATTAATTGATCAGTGGAAGGCTGTTTTCTTTTGTAATTTGTGAAGTTCTGGGATCCTGCTTCATAAAAACTGGAGGCCTTGAATCCTTGATGTGTGCAAAATCCACTGCATCAAATCACGGACAGAAATCTGATAAAATTTGGTAAAATAGAGGAGATGAATCTACTAAATCTGGGCAAATAATAGCATAAATTCCAGTCCGTTTTTTCTAACCTCTTCTCAAGTTCACTTAAAGGAACATCACTTCTTATATCTCTTACGAGAAAATGAAAAATGTTCAGCACGCAGTAACAGAATACAGAACACCGTAAGACACAAGAAAAGAGTAATCAATATGTACTTCTTCACGTAGTATCAACAGCCACCAAGCATTACAATCAAGCAAAGAAACGGACAGAAGGAAGTGTGAGACAACTGCTTGTAGAGGTCATTCATAGAAATGTTAAACCAGTTGCTAGAAGAGTTAGGCAAGCTCACTGCCAAAGCGGTAGAGCACTGCTTCACCCAGGGATTAGCATTAATTTTAGGAGTACTATCTCATAGAAGCCTTAGTATCTAGAACCATTAAAACACTGTGCCAGTTGGATGAATGGCATTTTACTGAACACCACTGCCACAGGTATCGGTGCCATATTAAATACAGGTCCTACTTCTCCCGTACTAATCTTTCCGATATGTCATGCTGATGATAGACACGATGCTTGCTAGCGTGATCATCTCCGAGTTCTTTGTTATGGGGGAAGGAGAGAAAAAGGTGCAGTTCAGCTCTCTGGGAATATTGCTATGTGGATTTGTAAAAGATGTGCCGAAAGTGAGGGGAAAAGGGGACAACTAGGTAAAACACATGCTTGAAGAGTTTCTGCACGTCAGTGCTGCTGCAGGCAACCTTTCCAGCTTCTGTCTTGAGCCTATCCTTTGCTCTCCGTAACTTATTTTCAAAGTTTAATTTTTATACATCTGAGCACAAATCCCTTGTTCTTAATTACAAAGAGGCAAAAATAAAGCTGTTTTCACATACAAAAATTAAAAAGGAAAGAAAAAAGCATTCTGAATCTCAATTAATAGAATGACATTACAAAATCCTACCTAGGCACAAAAGCCTGCAAGCGGAAAAGCATAGTGTTATTTGAGACAAAGAAATGGGTCACAGGACTTTAAAAAAAACAAAACTATTGAGGACACAAAATAGGTTTTTTCCCTGAACTTCTGTAGCTATCCAGGCCACACCATTTTTATTAGGGCCTCCAAGGCACAGCCCACTTCTCACAGCCAAGCTGTTTTGACCCAGAGTCATTTTACTACTACAGCCTCCGTATCTCAGGTCACCAAAACATCCTGGAAGTTATGAAAAAGGATGAAGTCGGCAGGGGAACAAGAGATAAAGGCAGATGATAGCTGGTTTAGTCCAGCTGACTGATGGGCATTAGATCACGTACGCAGCAAATTTGGAAGCAAACCCTTTTACTTTACACTTACTTTATCCTTCTTACCAGAAGCTGAGACCTAACATGCTGCTTGGTGTGCCTAGGACAAAAGGTAACGCCTGCTTTCCAAGGGGCTGATGAGGTGCAGGTGGTGGGACCCTGGGATCTACCGCAGGTACATCAGAGTTACAAACTGGTAACACGATCACTGATAGCTTGGGGCCAAATACTTAAACGTGCTGAGCTGCTTTGAAAACGCTGTTGAGTATTTCCAGGCATCTAAACTCTTCCCGAAATTTGGCTGTAAAACTGTTCCTCACAACTGTGCTGAGCTGCTTTGAAAATGCTGTTGAGTATTTGCATTTCCAGGCATCTAAACTCTTCCCAAAATTTGGCTGTAAAACTGTTCCTCACAACATTAAAAACATGAACTGTTTCTTGTGACGTGAACTCTTCTTTATGACACAAAAGACTTCTATCTTTATTGTGTTTATTTACAGAGTCATATTAAAACATATGGTAATGACTGAAAAGCACCTGCCCTCACACTTTCTGTTTCTCATTCTGGGTCTGATAAAGACGTTGTTAAGTCAGCGCGAGTCTTCCCATTCGTTTTTGTGGGTCCTAGCCCAGGACGTCTAAATTCCATATTTTTTTCAGACTACTGCTTACAACTGTACAAGAAACAGTCCTGTCCTCTGACTTCTGATTTAGGACATAGGCTCAGTATCGTTTTATATACTCAGGAGTGTTTCTGTATACAAACACCTACATTATGAACTGCATTTTAATCCTAAACATTTTACCAAGGATCACAGACAAAACATCTTTGCATAAGTCGTCTATTGCTCAGGTTTTTTAAAGTTTGCACAGTACATGCTCCTGTTTTGCTCATTGAAACACAATGAAAAGTGAAGCTTTTGAATGAAAAAGTAAGCGCAGGAATAAGCATAAAACCAAATCAAATAAAATCCAGGAGAGATAGAAGAAGACATTTTAACAAGACTGCTTTCTAGAGTATGTATGTTTAAATTAGCAGGAGTCATTTTGTCACACATTTGTGGCTTCCCTGGAACAACCCAGAGGTATGAAAGAAACAAAAAGATTTCCAAAGTTTAATGGTGAAAGCATATTTATATCGCTGAAAGTCAGCTGATTTACTGAAGAATAATATGATTTGCAATTTAGTTTCTGATGTGCCTTTTGTCCAAGTAACATTGACATAAAGCGTGACAGGACATTTCCACATGAATTGGCTTATCCCTGAGGGCTTTTCTAATAAGAAGGCAAAAAGCTAACAACATTCAGAGCCGAACCAAAATACTGTTGTAATTCTCAGAGAAGAAGGGAAAGGACATGTTAGGAAGGATGAGACGGTTTTCTGGGAGGCAGTAGGCCTGGCTTCTGCTCCCAGGGTGGCTACCAAACGGCGCTTTGTTTTCAGCAAGTCAGTTTTTCCTTATATGCTCTGTTTCTGACAGATCAAATATAAACCATTTATATCCTAGCACGTAAAAGTGTGCACGCTGCCAACATGAAGAACTGTACATGTCTTACCATTTTCTTGTCTGAGGAAAATCCCACCGCCACCCAGCCATCAGTATCGGCACTCAACTCAAATTCAACATCAGCTCCTATTCTACGGTAACTCAGAAAGTAGTCACAAGTCTCCGCATTGCATCCAGGTTTACCATACCTAAATGGAATTGGAAATACATGTCACTTTTCCTTGCAATTTCCTGCTATGGAACTTAATCACGTTTCTGCAAGAAAAAACTAAAAGAATGCATTTTGGTACAATGGCAGTAAAACATATTATATTATGTTATACACAAAGTACCATTAATTAAGTGTTTGCAATTATTACTCTTTTACTGTAAGAAGGTATAGTATTTAAACAGTATGGCAAGCAATTAATTGCACACAGTATTACTCTGTTGACCTTCCTAGCCCTGGTTTTGTAAGTGCTGCATGAAAATACAAGAAACATGAAATAACTGTAGGTCCATAACCACGACGTATATCCTTAAATAATCTAGTTTCCTCAAATAATGTAGTCCATAACTACAAAGTATGTTCTTAAATAATAAACATTTATTAAAATGAATGTGGAATATTTACCAAAGTCTCCAATGCAATCAGTCAGCATTTGCAAACATAGAGGTATCTGTACTCTTATCGCAAGACTGACCTGAAGCATCCCTTGGTTTTTCCACAGTCATCCACTCTGATTTTTGCAAATGGATCCACAGGAGGAGCAGTAGGGAAAGGGTAACCTGTATAATGAGAATAAATCATTGCTAAATAAAATACAAGGAATAAAAAGCAATCGTACTAAAGAGAAAGGCTTCCAATAGCATTTACTTTGTCTGCTGATAACTGAGCTGTTCGGCTGAGGGACTGCTTTGTCACACACACAATCCCTTGCTCAGACGATCCTGGGTCCAGGTACCAAAGTAAGACTGATAACTGAAAATAAAAATTTTCTCAGGTTTCCTACATTCATCAAGAAGGGATAAGGATGCCGGAGCATTGCTTTGCTACACCGAGGGCAAAAGTGAACTTAAGGCAGCAGGAACACGGACTACTGCAGTCAACTAACAGTTAGGGATCTCCACTTAGCTATCTCTTTGTGCGCTTTTAGTCCCCTCAGGAAATCCTTAAGGGAACTAAATCTGACTCTTTAGCTATAAATGACAGCATTAAATATAAATGCAGGGCACCAGATTCAGAGCTGTAGGAATGGATACTGAAAGGACCTTATAATACATCCTCCATTAAGAAGTAAAATAAAACATGCATTGCAATAAAAGGTAAGAGAGTATCAAAACAGGGAATTGCCTGCAGTTAGGACCTGCAGTCGCTTGGAAGACCCAGAAGAGCCGGACAATGAAAGTTACGACTCCAAGCAATCCCCTGTCTGCTGTACGACAGTACACCAAAGAGAAAGTGCGAACATTTGCAAACAGACCTTTTCTGTCTTGGCTTGTAGAAGTTTGTGTCTGTTGCGTGAACACAGATATTTTAATAGGATGTTCTTTTACTTAGCCAACTGAAAACCAAAGCGCTAGTTGTGAAACTAGAAAGTCCTCTGAAAGTGCTCCATTGAATAGGAAATAAACACTGCAGTTAGTTACAGCATCTACAAACATTTAACCTACACGACTTTAGGCATTTGGGAGCCCTGATTCGCTTTCCTAGATTTCTGACAGTGCCAACAGAGAGAGAACGTATGCTGTAAACTGCAAATTACAGCCTCCATTACCAGGGGCCTGGGTGAATTACCCAGCATAAACATATAAAGTTGGCAAAATTTCACCACAGCCTGTAGCAGAGCATCACCGAAGGACTGGTCACAGGACATCCTATCTTCTCACTTCTTCCTTTTTTTCAAATGTATCAAACAACGGGTTTTCAATGCAGCCTAGCCACAAAATTGGAGCTTTACCATTCTGCCGTTTGTAGCTTAAAATAAAAAAGCCACAAAAACCAGACGCAGCTACTATACTTCTTACTACTTAAGACATCACAGGGCATTTCGAAAACCACAAAACCCAGGACTCCTTTTAAGTTAGCAGCCCGGAAAGCTTTTCACGAGAGGGTTTGCACCTTGGAAGGCAAGCCGCCGCCGGCCTGCCCCGCTCAGCGGGACGGGGACGGAGCCCCGGCCCCCCGGCCCCCTCCTTGGCTCCTGCCGCGGCCCCGCGGCCCCCGGCTCTGCCGCCCGGCGTGGGCTGCCCCGGC